TCTAGAGGCTAAGTCTTTAAATTTGTCAGTAACGGTGCAGAACTGACGCCTACGCTTATTAGGATTGAATATAGTAATATTCTTAACAGGTGGCAACCCAATTAAAAAAATAAGACATTAGTGATTTTCCAGAGATCCATCGCTTTCATTTGACACCTCATTTTTTGTAATCCAACGAGCGGTGAAGATCTTATAGTTTTTTAGACAAGTCGCAACCCTATTAAAATTCTGAATAAAAAAGGTCTCTCCTATCGATACAGAGTATATTAGAGAAAATCTCGTCATCATCCGTTCAGTAGTTTTCGAGAATACCGCCAGTCTTGATATTTTAAGTACAATACTTTTTTCGGTACAATTAGGTTTGAAAAATACTAAAGTACAATTTACTGATTTTAAGTACAATTTCAACATCAAAAATATTTTTTTTTACAAAAATGAAATCTCTCCAGCACTTTGATTATCCATACGTTTGCATTTAAGTAAATGGACATACCTACATTTCATATTTGGTACAAAACGAAACTCTGAATCGTAATTTGATCTATATATTTAATAAACGTGATTGTGAATGGCGTATTAGTGTTGAGCGTTGAAGTGGTTGCGATTTTTTATCAGCGGTGGGTGAAATATCCCTCTTCGCTATATATTTAAAAAAATCTTGGAAGTGCAGTTTACCTAATGAAGATCCAGCAGAAAATTAAGTATGTAATTGAATAATTCGGGGATTGAAAGTAAAAAATTTTACGTAAATTTCATGCGTTGAAACTAAAAATTACTATTGTGGACTTCCATTTTAATGTTACTGATATCATTTTATGTGAATGATTTTCCCTAATATAAACTGATCTATCTTCTGTATTAATTTTTTGTAGTTATTGTATTTGAATATATATCCCGCGACAAAATTATACTGTTACCCGGGTTGGGCTATTTTTTTTTATATTTTTCTAATAAATTAAAATTTTTTTTATAAAAGTAGAGGTCATTGTCTAACGAAACGAAATAAACCACGGATTCAAATATTGAAAAAAAATCAACAAATTTTCACCAAAATTTCGCAGTTTTTATTCAGAATTTCGTCACCTGAAATGCAAAATAATGCAACAAGATCACCACTGAAATGGAAAAAGTCGTAACTAATTGTGTGTTGCGCACCTTCTTCCATATAAGGAATGTTGGCATTTTATTTTACATGGAAGAAAATCCGCAACACCGTTGTTGATATTTTTCTTCAATGAGCTGTACTTTCATATAAAAATTATGAAAATTAATTTAAAAAAAAAGTATTAAATATATAGCTCAAACTGGGTGACCCCAGAATTTTATCGCTGGGTGTACTTTTTAAAATGTGGAATATAATTTAAGAATTTATTTGTGTATACTTAAGTTAAACTTTAAACTTAATAAATTTTAGTGGGACTTTCTGTCAAAACTGGATATGACTTTATGGGCTAGTTGGAACGATCTCAGTGAAAAGTTACGTTAAATTAAGTCTACACCAACTGAAGCTGTACAATGAACTGAAAGATTGTAAACTTACTGTAGGAGACAAAAATATAGTTTATGTTTGGTCGAAGGAAAACGGGAGGTAATGTTTTGACGGAAATGGTGAAAAGTACAATTAAGCTCAAAAAGTTGCAGTCTTTGTCGTTAATTTAGTACAATTTAAAAATCTCAAATATCAACACCAATTACCGCGTACAAAGAATCATGGGCGTCGTTTACCTTCTATGTATATAATACTTCCAAAAAAAAAATGAATTTTTAATAAGTTACAAATGTAAGCAAGTTACAAAATTCATTGCTCTCGAGTCACCCGTTTTTGTTTCACACTTTTCTTACCATCCCCAAAATTTCAACACCGGTATACCAAGCCGAATTTATACAAGGTAATCTGAATTTTTCGCCGGGGAAAGCATAACGTCACTGTTCGTATTAAATTCGCCTTGCCGGTATACATACATGCATACAAGGCGAATTCATTTAATGTGGTGTTATAGCATAAACAGGACCTCCTTGATAAGCGAATTTCGACGCAACATTTCGCATAGAAAAATAGAACCGAAAAGAAATTCGCATCAGCTGAATGGCAAATAAAAATATAAAACTACAAAACTGAAAACATGAAGCCCCAAATTTCCCATTCTTTTTCTTCTGATAGCTGATTTTGTGACCGGCGGCAATGGAAAAATTAAAAACAAATATATTCTCACCGAATTTCGTCAGACGAATTTCGTTGTCGCTTTTGTTTTCTGCTATCTCATATACTGAAGTGTGTATTAATTTTGCCAACGAATTTTCTTCCAACGAAGTTCGCTCAATGATTTGATTCTGTTTATACTTTTATTTGTACAGCTGATAATCAATTCGCCTTGCATACATATGTCACAAAGTTATTGCTAATTTGGAGCGATGGATATTCGTAAATTCTTTCAGAGAAAGGGAAAATTATTAAAAAGAAATATAAAAGAAAAAAGTGTAAGAAACTCACCCATTTGTGTATTTTAGAGGGAATAAAAGGAAAGTTGGACGAGCCTGTCCAGTAGCTCGTTTCTGTAACAATTCTCTACCAAGGCGAATTGAGATATGAATTCGCCGCCCTGTTCTCTACTGCTAATTAGTAAGTGAGAGTGACGTATTTTCTCTACCATTAGAGAAATAATCGGTAGAGAAAAGTTACAGAAACGGCCTACAGGTTGCAGTAATTAAACCAGCGGAGCCTTGTGAGTAACGTACTTCTTCTTTAAAAACTGAATTTCTTATATGTATTTATGGGGTTTAACGCAAACGAAAAGAAAGTTAGATGAGCCCGGCCAATCTGCAGAAATTGGGCCGGCCAGCAGAGACTCGTGAGTAATATACATCTCATTTAACCCACGATTGAGAGATGCCACGTCAATGGGTGGCTCCGAAATTAAAGCACTAGCAGCGGCAACCGCTTCACGATGATACCTATTTACTGCGTGATTCTTGCAGTATTCGTGCATATTCTTGTACCGGGTGAATGGTTTTAACACAAATGAACCAAGCACTCCTCGAGGGCATATCGGCGCAAACAAATCGAAATAAATGCATAGCGCACCTTTTAATTTGCATGAATACGCTAGCCATGATGTATATTTTGTAAGCCATGAATGCTCGAAAACTCGATCTGATTTCTCATTACTATCTTTAGAATAAAGTAATGTAAAAAAAAATATTTTTTTAAAAATAAGCTTTTATTTAACATGTTTAATCAAAGGAATAAAATAAAGTAGTGAAACAAAAGATTTTTTAGCAAGAAAATTTTGTCAAAACTGCACTAAAATGAATAAAACAAAATAAGTTAAGGTCTCGTTAAAGTTACTAAAAGCCATTTAGTGAAAGGAGTTATTCAAACTCTAATGAAAATTACTAACAATTTGTACTAATTTACTTCGTTTTTAAAAAAGCTTGTCGGCGAATTCAGCGTGCATGCATAATTGGTTAGGTATGTATGTATGTATTTATATGTATGCAGATATTTAAATGCCGGTTTGCTATTCGCGCGACAAGCTTTTTTAAAAACGAAGTAAATTAGTACAAATTGTTAGTAATTTTCATTAGAGTTTGAATAACTCCTTTCACTAAATGGCTTTTAGTAACTTTAACGAGATCTTAGCATATTTTATTTTATTCATTTTAGTGCAGTTTTGACAAAATTTTCTTGCTAAAAAATCTTTTGTTACACTACTTTATTTTATTCCTTTGATTGTACATGTTAAATAAAAGCAAATTCAGCCTACATGCATAATTGGTTAGGTATGTATGTATATGTATGTATGCAGATATTTTAATGTCGGTTTGCTATTCGCGCGACAAGCTTTTTTAAAAACGAAGTAAATTAGTACAAATTGTTAGTAATTTTCATTACAGTTTGAATAACTCCTTTCACTAAATGGCTTTTAGTAACTTTAACGAGACCTTAACCTATTTTATTTTATTCATTTTAGTGCAGTTTTGACAAAATTTTCTTGCTAAAAAATCTTTTGTTACACTACTTTATTTTATTCCTTTGATTGTACATGTTAAATAAAAGCTTGTTTTTAAAAAATATTTTTTTTACATTATTTTATTTTATAATTTTTAGTCCATTTATAAAACCGTTGTAAAAAGTGTTATTTCATTTTATGTACAAAATTTTGCAATAGATATTAAAATAATTCAACTTGCAATGAAAGAGAACAGAAAACTTGGCAAGCAAAATGTTTGCTTATGGTTTGTATAAACATGCATATGTACATATAGCAGCAGTTAATTTTATTTAAAGAAATGGCGTGTCGTCCATTTCCGTTGTAGCCTGGCATATATTTAGGCGCAATATTTAACTTCTTCTGTCGGGGCGACAACTGGAGTTTTCTAATTCTTACAACGAGGTTCATATCTAGACTAGGTTGATATCAGAATTTGCCACAAGTAGCTTTGCTATACTATCGCCGACAGCTTTAACAATTTTAAAGTGGTTTTACGTTCTTTGGCAAATTACGCTCTGTTAGCCATAAATCTTACTATTTTTTGACCGCCTTTGAATCAAGACCCCTGGACCATATGGGGAATTCATTTATATTTTTAATTGCATTGTCATCGTGATTGGAACTATGCTGAAAATTTCAAGTCTCTAACTTGTCGGGAAGTCAGTTTAAAATCGATTGGAAATCTCCGCGATTTGCGGGGGATGACCAAGTTAAATAAAAGCTTATAATAAAAAGCTTTTGACTGCCGTAGCTGAGTAGGTAGAGATGTCGGTTATGAATTCTGTGGGTCGCAGGTTCAAATGCCGGCACATGCAGTATTTAAATGATAGAAACAAATTTTTTTAATATACAAGATTGTTACTAGATGTTTGATGAGGTATTAGAACTTTGATAAGGTATTTTACTAGATGTCTGTCACGGGTAGAGACACGAATTCCTAATTTAATTAATTAATTTAATTTTAAATAGTAATAAATTATTTTAGGTATTTTTCTTGACCTCATAAAGCTGAAGATTGACGCTGGGGATGATGTGTTGAAGAAGCATTTTTCAGTTGGAAGTGAAAGGACTAAATACACATCGAACATAGAAATATGTGGAAGTGTTGTAAGGGAGAAACTTGTAACGCGCATTAAAAGCGCATTTGCATATAGCATATTAGCTGATGAAAGTTGCGATTTATCCGGAAAGGAGCAGTTAGCTGTAGGCATTCGATTTTCGGATGAAGACGCTATAGTTCATGAGGAATTCCTTGGATTCACAGAGCTAGAAGCTATGGATGCTAAAACCATTGCGAATGCAATTTACACGTTTGTGAAGCACCAAGGATTGAATCCCATGAATTGTGTTAGTGAAGGGTATGAAGGGCGCTCAACGATGCCGGGAAAAGATGCAGGTGTTCAGAAGCTCCTCAGACAAAAATATCCTAAAGCTTTATATTTTCATTGTGCCAGCCACAGGCTAAATCTAGTGGTCAACGATTTGAGTAATGTCTCGGTTATTAGAAACACAGTTGCCACTATCAAATACATTATCGTTTTTTTCGCGAATCTGCCACACGCCGAAGATATGCTCCAAATGTTCCCCTACTTTGTGAAACGCGGTGGTCACAAAAAAATTTGGTGGATATACTAGGTGGACTGGAAAAGTTATCCGTGGAGGGAAATGCCACCACACGGAAAACAGCTTTCCGATTACATTCAGCGGCAACAAATACAACTTTTTTAATTGCGTTATTTGTAATTGCAAAATACGCAGCATTATTGGAGCTAATTGCTAATTCGTTGCAAGCGATCAGTTTGAATGTGGTGGAGTGTGCTGAACTCATAAAAAACATAATGATTTAATAGCGCAGCATCGTGAAGAAATTGATAATGGCATTCAAGAACTGTTGTCTGAACTAGCAGTTGTTACAGATACGCTGGGAATTGAGTTGAAAGCACCGAGAGTATGTAACAGGCAAACTCAAAGAAATAATGCACCTGCAACTTCCGCCGAAGAATATTTCAAGAGGGCATTAGTAATCCCTTATTTAGATTCGTTGCAAATGTCTCTAAAAGAACGATTTGGTTCTGAAAATACGCTAGCGTTTTTTACATAATTTTTGCACCCACTACATATGCTATCCCTCTCTAAAACAGATTTCCAAGAAAAAATGGTATCGATTGAGAAGTTTTATGAATTGGAAGGCTTAGTAATAGAATCTCAAGTGTGGTATGTTAATTGGGAGAGAAAACAAAAAACTCCGGATGAACTAAAGCTCGTTGGGATAGAAGAAATGGTAGCTGAAAGCAAAACTTTATTCCCTGTAGTAAAAAATGCCTTACATTTGCAGTTAGCTCTGCCGTGTACAACTTGCACAATTGGAAGGTCGGTTAGCACACTAAGAAGGGTAAAAACTTGGCTGCGCTCGACAATGGGCGAAACTCGACTTAACGGTAATCATTTAAATAAATCGTCAGTTTAATTTCTTATAAAATTTGCCTTTAGGTTTATGCATCTTAAGCCTACATCGAAAATTTGTTTTAGAGAATCAATATGAAATAATTGAAGAAACGATTAACTGGTTTGCAGAGCAACCGAGACGTCTGCTCTTTAAATAATTTTTGTAAAACAAATCCGCAAGTTTATATGTATGTTTTTACTTTACATTTATTAATTTTTTATACACCTGTTCTACATACTTTTGTAGTAAGAAAATAGTAGTCATATTTCCTGTTAATATTCCTCTATTTGTGAGAAAATAAGTCAATAAAATGTAAGTTTAGTACTCCACTCTGCTTACTAAAATTAAACTAAATTTATATTTTGCTATTAGTTAAGATTGCCTTTTCAAATGGAACAATTTAGTTTTTTTGGATTTTGGTTTGTGCCGTTATTGCAGAGGACCATCGATGTGTATTAATAAGGATCAATTAATCAACTACATTAAGAGTTTGAAATAAAATTTGATTCCGAGTGATTTTTATTATATTTGAACCCCCATGCAAAGTATCTCGACTTTCCTTTATACTATGTATAGATAGATGTATATATGTACATACGTAATAGAACTAATGGCAAGGCAACAAAGAAAATGCTTATTTTGCATATGGAGAGAAATGCAAAAAAGTTTTAATTGAATGAACGAAAAAGCAAATTAATGTTGTGTTTGCATTCTTGCATGAACATACATATGTATACATAAATATAATGAATAGCGTTAATTTTTTGTAGTTCCCAATAAAAGATAAAAAGCTAAATATGAAGCGGAAATAATTTTAATATCAATTTGAAATATGTTACTGTGGGGGTAAAACATCTTTGAAATTAAATAATTTTGCATAGGACATACAAACGTATCGCTCATTTACTACAATACAGTGAAACCCTCTTAAGTACCCCCCCGCTTAAGTACCTAACCCGCTTAAGTAACCAACATATTTGGGCAATACCTATTTAAGTACCTAAATTTTTCGTATCCCATTTACCATTTTACCTATAATTTTCCCCTTTTAAGTGCTCTTTTAAAATTCCTTAAAATATTTACATATTTTGATATTCAGTGGCAGCGTTACACACCTACGGGAAAAATTATAAAAAATAAACGGTAATTTTTAGCTACTTGAAACTTGCACATTATTACACTAAAATTGAAAAACACTTCTGAGAAAAAAATTTAAAATTTTGGTGAATTTTTTTTTAAGTTTTTAATAAAACCTTAAGCTTAGGTTTATATGGTATTTGTTAGGGAATGAACTGTATTTTAATTAAAAATTCTTAAATAATGCTACGGTTACTTTACTAAATGTTCATGTTTTATTCAAGGATTTACATATTTATGTGAGTCTACAAAAAGGTTAACTACATCATAATTATGTTCGCTTAATTACCCGCATCGAGGTACTCAACCCGCTTAGTTACCTCAAAAAGCTGAAATTTTTCGTGAAGTACTTAAGCGGGTTTTACTGTAGTGTCGCACCCAGGAATATATTTTAGGGGGGGTTTTATATTTCTGAAGATATATCACCTGAAAATACTGAAAATTTGCTTGATAATACGCTCTTTAAAATACATTTATGCAAGTTTTATGTACAGTATGTAATAAATAAATAAACGTTTTAAAATTCATAAACTGCACTTTATTTACATAAGATTAACAGAACTCAAACACTTTTAACCGACTTCAAAAAAGGGGAGGTTATCAATTCGCCGGAATACATAACTTTTTTACCACGTGAACCGATTTCAATAATCCTTTTTTTATTGGAAAGATGGTACCTCAAGGGTCGTCCCGTAATTTGGTTTAGAGATCCGATGATTGGATCATGAAGAAATTAATGGTACCCCTAAATTTGTATATGAGAATTGAAGTCGGTTGTGTTCTTTCCTTAAAAACTACTTGTTTAATAAAAAGTTCTATAAACTCAAGATGCGCTCAACTTTCAAAAGTACCTAATAAAAAATTTTCAAAAAGAGTCAGTAAAAATAAATTTATTGATTCCATGAATTTTTGCACTTTTATGTTAATTTTTCGATTTCTGGTTTCTGGTTTTCGATAGATGGTGATTTTTCACGATTGCTAAATTTTTTTAATATTTCGAGTTCCGAAAAAATTAACTGAACTCTCAAGAAAAACGAAAAATTCATATAAAACGACGGACGAGAAATGGAAAAGAAATTTTCTCTACCAAATTTTCATAAATCAGTTTGCAGCTCTCAAGGAAAAAATGCTCGTATATTTATTTCCTCATGAAAATTTACAGCAAAAGCAAAGCGCCTTTTTAATGAACAGAAAGTATAATAAATATTTCTTATAATTTCCTTGAGAGCTGGATTCTTAGCTTTAAGATACAGTTTGTATTTGAGGTTATTAGCTTTAGGGGGGGTTTGAACCCCAAAACCCACCCCTTGTGTGCGCTAATGCGCGCAAAACATCAGCCTCGTTTTAAAAATACATATCTTCAAAATGTATCATTTTTTTAAATAAAATGTATGAACATAGCTAAGTGTTTTTATCTTCGAACTTAATTTGCGAAAAATACTGGCCCGAGAAAACTCCGGTCCCACGAGGAAACACACAAGTCTCACAGATTGGCAAACTACACTTAGGCGGAAACGGAAAATGTTATCAGATTTTGTGTAGCCTAGTTTTCATCAGAAAAATTAAAATCTGATGCTCAAGATCGACTACTGCCACGTCTATATCTGCCTCATAACGTAGCGAACGTGGAAGTTAACCAATCACATAAATTTTATACTTCTTGATTCCTAGGAAAAAGCACTGCATGTCAAATTCCAGTAAAATCGGATCAGGATTATTACTTTTCGCAGCAGCTTATTTTGGAATTTGTCATTGTGCAGGCTGCAGTCTGTGGGAGGTTAACAAAAGAGACGCAGATGGATGCAGCTAATATTTGTTTGATGAACAGTTTAGATTGTATAGAGTGTTTTTGTCCCAATCATCTTTCACCGCATGGCGCCGCAAGGTACTTATACTCTGGAACGTCTAGGAAATATGATGAAAGCATGTTATGTGTACTAATGAACTTGGCTCTAAACATAGAGGAAAATCCAACAACACCAATCATTCAACTACCTTTGTTATGTCCGTGAAATGCGCATTCGAGCTTTTATGTAAAAATACGATTCATACAACACCGACTTCGTGTGTCTTTTGAACCCCAATTTTTCGTAGAAAAAATCTTAAAGCATATTAGCAGACAGTCGCACATTTCGAGACATTTAGAATCCGTGACATTCAATCAACCTCAGAACAATGTGGGCCAGTCAATTTTACACAAAAAAATCAATATACTGGTGAAACTAACGCATAAATACAGTTAAGGTTCAGTTAGTCTAGCCTTAACTTAACTTACGTAAGAAACCGTCAATGATTACTCACACGTCAACTTAGCCAGAAGCGAAAATATTTTGTTTTTATATTTTCCTTTTCACTTGTATTTTCCGATTGTCAATTTGCCGGCTACAAGGCCCATCCAAAAATTCCTGAATATATTTCGTTGGCCAATATATTAGGTTACGTTACATAAATTACGTCTAGACCAATCTGAGCCTTTAACCTATGTTTTTAATTTTTCTCTGTAAGGTCAGGATTTTTAAAAGGACTTTGCAATTTCAAAGATATGATTTATTCAAAAAAATATTAAAATCAGTGAAATATGATATAGTAATATGATATAAAATAAAATTCTTTAGAATAAAAAAATAAATAAAATGTTTTGTAGCGCAAAGACGAATAGGTACAGAAAATGTCCTCTTAACAGAGACCATAACGAATCATTAATAATTAACGATTATAAGAAATAAAAATAAATATTGAGTATAATTATTACTGAACAATGGAAAAGTTGTTCTCCTAATAATTATCTGTGAATTTTATTTTTTTCGTACCGCGGGACGATTATTTTACCATGGAAATTATTTCCGCCTTCTCATGATAATTATACAAAGCGACGTTTTTGATCCCAAACGTTAGGATAATAATTATTTGGGTATCTGCCTTTTAAACCTTTACTATTGAATATTATTTAAAATTTCTAATAGTTATTAAAAACATAAAAATAGTTAAGGACTAGTATGTACACTATCACATCCTAGAATTTCGTCCTCCTAACTTTATTAGTTCAGGATAA